CTCTTGAGGCATGGTCTTTCTGGGGTGTTCGTTTCTCATTAGGGCTATTGGATGAGGACTGTCTACTCAGGCTGTCCAAAAGACTTCTGTCTCCCTGATCTGTGTGAGTATCCATTTAGTTCACAGAATCCCAGGACTGATCTCTGCTAAGCCTCCCAGTATCTTGTTTTACTTTATTTTCAAAGTTTTTTTTTTAATTTATTTGACAGAGAGACAGAGAGCACAAGTAGGCAGAGTGGCAGGCAGAGGGAGAAGGAGAAGCAGGTGCTCCATCAAGCAGGGAGCCTGATGCAGGGCTCGATCCCAGGACCCTGGGATGATGACCTGAGCCAAAGGGAGTTTCTTAACCTACTGAGCCACCCAGGCGCCCCACCTCCCGGTGTTTTATTGTGAGCCTGCACAGCCTAGCGTTTGGCCAAATACCTACAGCAATGCCTATCGTGATTTCTACAAAGCTTCTTTTTCTCCAGTAGATTGAAATCCCAGCTGCCCTGCAATCTGATCAGTACCTCCCAGATCAGCTCCATTGCTTTCCTCTGCTTAAGCTCTACTTCCCTACGGGGAGGTCCTGAAAATGACCCAGGTGGAAAGAAGGTACAGTCCAGGCTCACTGCGTGTTTCTCTTCTCTCAGCCATCATGTTCCAACCAGTGGAGCATAGGACAGCAGATAGCCTTGATAAACTTATCCAAAGAATGACGCCAGCTTCTGGGTCTCAGCACCTCGCCTCAAAAAAAAAAAAAAAAAAAATCCAGAATTGACATATGGAGACAAACATGATTGAGTTTGCTTAAATATACAGCCAATCTTTCTTTGTCTTGTGTGATCTTGACACTTGAAGAATGTGGGTAAAATATTTTGTAGGATGTCCTTGTCCCAATTTGTTTTTTTTCCTGCTATTTTCTCATCATTACACAGGGGTTATGGGGTTTTGAGGAAGAATATTATGAACGTGAAATGCTTTGTCATTGTATCACTTCCAGGGATACCTGACAGCAATGTGTCTTAGAACTGGTGATGTTAACTCATCTCTTGGTTAAGGTGGGGTCTGTCAGATTTTTCTACTGCAAAGTTACTGTTTTTCACTTTCCTTACTCTTGTCTTTTGATGCAAGTGACTGAGCCCAGCTTAGATTCAAGAAGAGGAGAATTAAGCTCCAACTCTTTTGGGTGTGTGTGTGTGGGGATCAAGTATTTAATAAAAATTTGGGGGACACCTTGGTGGCTCAGTCAGTTAAACGGCTGCCTTCAACTCAGGTCATGATCCCAGGGTCCTGGAATCAAGCCCCATATCAGGCTCCTGGCTTGGTGGGGAGCCTGTTTCTCCCCCTCCCTCTGCCTGCCTGCCTGCCTGCCACTACCCCTGCTTGTGCTCAATCACTCATTATCCCTCTCTGTCAAATAAATAAATAAAAATCTTTAAAAAAAATTTTGGAATGATACTTTAAGGCCTTGCAACTATCCTGTTCACCTTAAAGTTTTGCCCACTAATATTTGCATTTAGTGGATCAGGTCCGCAGCAGTTATTACTGTGGTATTTTAACAGTAATTTTCTATTTCCCTCATTCCTTCTATAATTATTATTATTTGGAATTCTTATGCATGGAGTTGTCCAGTAGCCAGCATTTATTTATTCAATCATATCACTGATTTATGTAAGTGTGGCATCACAGATATTTCATTTTGGGGACTATAAACCAATACTATCATTATTTTTTTATTGCTCAAGCTGGGCCAGCTTTGGCCATTGGGAGCTTTCAGGATGGCTCTTCTATCCTTAAGACATGTTCCTTTTTTTTCTTTCTGGTACTTCCTTACTCTGTGGGACTATAGGAGGCTCCTGTCCCATCCTGTACTTCCCTACCCTGGCCTTATGACCAGCCATTTCTCCAGGGATCCCTGGCTCCTTTTACTGGATAGTGTCATGTAGAAACCAAGATCTGGGTACTAAAGATGCTCATTGTTTTTAGAAGAGCAGCTTCTAGCCCTTCTCCACGGACAAAGCATGAAACTGTCAGAGGAAACCAAGATATGGCGGCTAAGTGCAATGCAGTAGGGAGCTGCTAAGATGGTCCCTCAGTGGTCCCGACCTACTGATATTCATGGTCTTTTGTAATCCCCTCCCCTGGAGTAACTTGATTCTAACCAAGAAAATGCTTCGCCTTTGAGGAGGTGTCACTTCCTGTGATTACATTACAAGAGACTGCAACTTCCGTTTTGCTAGTTGACTCTCTTGCTGGTTTGACAAAGCAAACCACCATGCGTGAGCCGCCTCATGGAAGGAAAGGAACACATGTGAAGGACTGGGAGCTCCCCAGCTGATAGCCAGCAAGGAACGGGGGCCCTCAGTTCAGCAGGCTACAGAGCTGAGGCCTGCCCAAAGTCATGGGAGCTCAGACCAGATCCTTCCTTAGTCACGCTTTCCAGAGGAGTCCTGAATCCTGCCCAATACCTTCCTTGATAGGATCCTCGGGAAAGCCACTGGAATAGAAGACCCAGCTAAGCCAGCCTGGATTCGTGACCCACAAAATCTGGGAGAATGTGAACATGTGTTGTTTTTAGCCACCGAGATTGTGGTAATTTGCTACACAGGAAGAGATAACAGTTTCCTTACTTGGATCCTAGAACAGAAAAAAAAAAAAAATTCGTGGAAAAAACAGTCAAATCCAAATAAAGCCTGAAAGTTGAGTTCCTGGTACCGTGCCAATGTTATTTTCTTAGCATTGATAAATATGCCACGGTTCTGTAAGATAGTCACAGTAGAGGATGCTGGTTGATGGGTCCGGGAACGTCAATGCTTTCGCAGCTCTTCCGTAAGCTCAACTTCCTTCAGAATACAAACTTGGAGAAAAACACTTCTGGGCGTTATGTGTTATGTTCACAAAATGAAGAGAACACGGCAGATTCGAGGAGGAGGAAGTCCAGAAAAGGTTATCAGGGAGCCATCAGTCTGGTGCCAGAGGCTCGGCAACCAGGCCTTAGTGGTCAGTGTGACAGGCCAGAAAGGAGTAAGAAGGGTGGCAGTCACAATCTGCTGGGGGAGATGCAAGGCCAGGCCTGATGCCCATCCTGGGAGTCAGAGTCTGGTGGAGGAGTTCCAAAAATAATATTTTTCCCCAACTTTCAAGAAGAGTATTTGTGTTTGTTTACCTCCATTTAAATCCCCCCCCAAATGTCAACATTTGTCCCCAAACGGAACTGCTTGCCTGTCCCTCCACCCTTATGGTTTTTGTTTGTGCCCTTTGGACCATCTGGCAGACCTCTACCGCTTGCCAGGAGTTATCCTCATACGCTTCCTTATCGGTTTCCAAAAGTGAGCCTGCAAGAAAATCTTTGCTCCCTCTGCCCTCAGTGATGACATGCTTCACAGCAGATCTCTCGCTCTCCTAACTTCACCATTTAGCTCTTGGTCCATCTACCAGCTGTGTATCTTCAGAGAGTTAAACTCTAGTTCTCAGCTTCTTCCAACATGGAATGGGACTAAGAAGCGGCACTTTCTTCATAATTAGTCCTTGGATTAAACAATTAGGGGAAACACTCATAACAGGAGGGTGCCTGGCAGGTAGTTAAGGACTGACTGCTTTTGCTCACAGGTTATTTTCCTCCAGCCCCTCTAAGTTTAGTCCATCCCACATAAATCTGTTTCTTCCAAGAACCTTCTTCCTCCTGGCCAGCCCCGACCATGCTCACTGTACAGTCAAAAGCAAGGATAGGAGACCCTCTGCCAAAGTTAAAAGCGCATCAAACACGCCTAGCATTTATTATTTTAATCACAAACCTACAGACCCCTTAGTACACCCTCCTTGGGGCTTGACCCCAAGGATCTGAAGCTGACAACCTTGGATGTATGTGGTAGGAAGGGTGGGCATGGGCAGGGAGTGTCTCACAGCTCTGAAATGGGGAGGAGTCCTCCCAAATGGAGAACGAGGTGGATGGAGGCCAGAGATTGGAGGTGACCTAGCTTCTGAGAAATGGGGGGGGGGTGTCAGTAAAAAAAAATCGATAAAACAAGAGAGGCGTACATATGCTTTTGCAACCCTCCCTCCAAGCCTCTGCTTTGGTGGGATAGGCTTCCACTTTTCCCCGGGCTTGGGAACTCCCCAGAAAGGCCCCTTCCTTCATCCTGCTCCTCTATAGACTGCAAGAGTGCTGGGGTGCTGGTTCTGGGAACCTGGACTCAGTACCCCCTAATTCCTATCACCTCCCTAAACTGCCCTTCAAAGTAGGAGGCGGGACTCTACCCAAGGGTGAGGGTCTAGTTCTCCTGATCGAGGTCTGGAATGTTGCCCCACAAGATTTCAAGATCGGCCCTCTTCTCCAGGGGCAAGGTCGGCTCAGAGCCCTCCTGGGTTAGGTCCCATTGGTCCCAGGTTAAGGCTGGGGAGCTAAAGTACCACTCCCCCCCCTCCCTGCAGCATGGAATGCTCTGATGGGATGTTGCTAAGGGACAAGGTCTGTGATCTCCACATGGCCTGATCTCACGGACTCCTCCATGCCTGAAATGCCTGCGCTCCGTGGTGCCTATGGGGAAGGGGCGGGGCCTGGCTCCCGCATGGCCGGAAGGCCAGGACTGCGCTCCCAGGTGAAGGGTTCTCTTCACGTCTGTTTCTTGGCTGAACAGGGCGGGGCTGAGGGGAAAGGACAGGGCTTAAACCCCCAGGGTGAGACCTCTATTTGACTCCTCTTCCTTGCCAGGATGGACTAGACTAGTGGTTCCAAGAGAGGGGGTGGGCCAGTATCTTGCTACCTCCTTACCCCAGGGGACCTGGCTAGTAAAGTCCCTAAGCAAAGGGGGGCCTAGCTCATCCTGCCTCCTTCCCTCACCTGGGCAAGGGCACGTCCCACGGGGCGGGGATGAGGCTGCAATCTCCAGGGGAATGGCCCAAGGTTACCGCCTTCTCCATGGCTGAAACGCCTCACCCGCTGGTCTGGTGGGAAGGGGGCGGGGCCTCATCTGACTCCTCCTCCTTGCCTGGTTGCAGGGGTGGGACCTCATCACGTCTGCTCTTCCCCCCAACACCTGGGCAGGGCAGTCTCACAGGAGGGTGGGGGGGAAAAGGTGGGGCCTCATCTTGAGGCGTCCTCCTTTCCTGGGTGGGGATGTCCCAGGGGAGGGGTGAGGCCTGATCAGGACTCCTCCTCCATGCTGAAGCTGCTGCGGCGACTGCTGGCCTTGGAGACAGCGGGGGAGACCGACGAGAGCAGGGGGTCAGAGGCAGCCCGCAGTGGGGACAGGGCGCCCGACAGTCCCCCCGCCAGCCCTTCCTCCTCCTCCTCCATCAGAATGTCCTCCAGCCCCAGGTGGAACGGGTCTCCCAGATCCCCCAGGTGGTCGCTGGGAAAGTGCAGGTCCAGAAGGGCATCGGAGGGTGGCGCTGGGGGCTGCTGATGGGGGCCACTCTGGGCAGATCCCCCCGCTGCGTGAAATGCTGCTGTGCCTGGCCTGCCCTCCTCCTCAATGTCCAGCTGCTCTGGCTTGAGGCTGTCAGAGGCTGAAGTTGTGGCCAGGGGGAGCAGCCCCGGGGTGGGAGGTACCGGCAGACCGTGGATCTGTGCCTGCAATTCTAGCTCCTGCGAAAAGTAGGGGGTGGGGGGGCGGGATCAGATGGGGTTCATGGTTCCTCAGAGGCAGAGAAGTCTGATGGTGCCAAGGGCAGGCTGCTGCTCACGGGTTGTGTGACTTGAGGCAAGTTTTGCTTAAAGTCGCTGGGCCTCAAGAGTCCCACTCTGTAAAATGAGTGGAATAACGGTCCCTGCCTCACGGGATCATAGAGAGGGTTACCTTAGCAAATGGAGATAAGGCTCCTGTTGCCGTGCGCTGCACGAGACAAACACCACATACATTAGCCAGTATTCGTCGCTGTTCTCGGTAGAGTTATGATTGCTACTTGTCGTCACTGTCGCGTGAGTTGGGGAAGCCCAGGGATTCCCCCAAGTAGGCCAGGAAATCCCGGCCTGCTCTTCCTCTGCCTCTGCCTGTAGGGAGCCCCCGTCCCCTCTGCCACGGCCTCCTTGTCCCAAACCTGAATTCGGAGCTGCAGACTGCGGTTCGTCTGTTCCAGCGAACGCTGCCGGCTCTCCAGGTCTTTCGAGCGTTGCTGCTCCTTCTGCAACTTGCGGATGTAATCCACAGAGGCTTTCAGGATGGTGCCCTTGTTCCAGCGCATCTCCCTGTAGGGCCCGACGGGAGGAAAGGAGGCAGTGTTGCGTAGGGGGGCTCTCGGGAGCTGACGGGGCAACTGCACCAGCACAGGCCTAGACCAGGAGTTCATGGGTGGGGCATACCTCAAGGGTATGGAATGCCCTTCCCAGATGTTCTGGGGGAAGAGCAGATTCCTGCTCCTAGAACATGCAAAACCACTCCCACCTCAGGGCCTCCAGGCCAGCAGCGCCCTCCGCAGTGGACACTCTTCCCCAGACACCCAGATGGCTCCTGCCTCACCACCAATGTTTGCTTGTCAATCCAGGCCTGCCCTGTGCCCACCCTCCTCACCCTAAGTTGTAACCCTTGCCAACATTCCCCGATCTTCTATTCTTTTTCTAAAGTCACCTCTATGACCAACATGGGGCTTGAACTCACAAACCTGAGGTCAAGAGTCACACACTGGGGAGCCTGGGTGGCTCAGATGGCTAAGCGTTTGCCTTTGGCTCAGGTCACAATCTTCAGGTCCCTTACATCGAGTCTGGCATCTGGCTCCCTGCTCAGCAGGGAGTCTGCTTCTCCCTCTCCCCCTGCTTGTGCTCTATCTCCCTCTCTCTCTCAAATGAATAAATAAAATCTTAAAAAAAAAAAAGTCACACACTCTACTGAGCCAGCCAGGCACGCCCCCATCTTCTCTTTATTTTTCTCCACAACACTCCTCGTAACCACCCAGATTTTATTTATTTATCTTGTTTATGGTCTGTCTGCCTCCACTAAAGTATCAGTTCCAGGAGCTCAGGGATTTTTGTCTGTTTTGTCCCTCTGATATCCTCAAGGCCTAGCACAGTCCCTGACACAAAGCAGCTCGATGCGTCCCTTGAATGAATAATTACGAAGTACTAAATGAACCCAAAATGAGTGCCTATGTCAGATGGGGACCAGATGAGGCACACGGACTGCAATGTCATGCACTTAAAATTGTAGGTTAGGGGCTACAAGGGGCTATGCCCCTAATGCAGGGTCCTGAAAGCTGGATGGACCCGGAGCAGAAATGCCGGGCGCTTCCCACCCAGGAACAGCTTTAGGGGAACAGGGCCCTCATCCCACCTTCTGCCAGCCCAAAGCCCTCCCCCCATCCTAGACTCACGGGTCACTGGACTTTGGGATGAGGGTACCCAGCTCCTTGATCCTGTCGTTAATGTTGAATCGCCGGCGACGCTCGACTTTGGGGGTGGGGTGGGGAGAAGAGTGGGAAAGCGGTCAACAGGCTGAGGAGGGAGGAGGAGCTGGGGATGGGGAGGCTGTTGCAGGGACAGGCCCCCCTCAAGGAAGGCCAGGGCGGGGTGTGAGGCAGGGCTGAAGAGCATGCTGGCAAGGGCACGGGAGCCCACTCACTTAGGTTGTGATTGTCTTTCTTCTGTCGTTCCTTCAAAAGGGCCTTGGCCTCAGTCTCTGGAAGAGAGGTGGGGGCGGCGGGTAGTCAGGACCTCTGGACGTGGGAAAGACAGAGGCAGCACATACGGCTGCCGCTGCCGGGGGTAGGAGCTGGTGGGTGGAGGCAGGGAAGTGACTTTTTTTTTTTAAGTGCTACTTTCATGACTTTTTAAAAAAGAGCCCTGGTGACTGGTGATTTGTTAAACCCAAGACAAGAGGAAATGGGGTGAAAGCTAGCCCATAGGCCATGTGGAAGGAGAGGGCAAACAGCCCCTTTCTGTCTGCTTAAGCCCCTTCCCCCAGCATCAGGCCCACCTGGTTGACAAAGGGCTCACCCGGGGGGTCCAGAATGGGCGCCTGGGGCCAAGACCCTGGCCCTTACCAGAGATCTCCCGTTTGATGTTGGGCAGCTCAGCCGGGCAGGAGTTGCTGACAGTGATGGCTGGCGTTGCCACGCCCTGACTACTGTACACATCAAGCAGATTCCCTGACACAGGCAGCTGGGGGCAGGGAGGGCAAAGAGATGACGGCTCGGAGCAGCCCCAGGCTTGGCCCCGTTCTCAGAACCTGGCCCCCACCCTTCCACACGCTCCACAGATGCCCTAACACAAGGACTGGCTGGCTCAACACAGGGACCCTTCCCTCTTGTTCAAGGGAACTTTGCAGGGCAACTCAGTGGGGAGGACAGGATCATGTGGACCCACCCAGCTTGGTCAGGGGACCGGAGTCTGCTGGACCCTTTCCTTGTGCCCCTGAGTGCCCCCAAATACCTCAGCAACCTAGGAGGCCCCTCTCCCCAACTCTGGGGTTGGCCCTGAGAAGTGCTGGAAAACCACTCCTCCTCAGGTCTTTGTCGGCTACGATGCAACCTTGCAACCTTCCAGCCCGTCAGCCCCTCCTAGCACAGCGTTCCAAGTCGGCATTCTTGGAACACTCCAGCTCAATCTTCTCAGACCTTGGGAAATTGTCATGGTAACATTTTATCCAAAATATGGCCTTTCAGAGAGTTCCAGCCCGATCTCTAGCCTTCAGCCGTGGCTGTTGTGTTCCACCACCTTATCATGTACATGGTCATGCACCGAGCTCCTGACTTCTGGTATCTTCCTACGCATTCCAATCTCTCAGGATTTCTTGTCCAACTATTCAACAAGCACTGCTCTTTTATGCCAGCCTTGATTTTTTGTTCGCTTTCCTTCACCCTCTCCTGGATATACTCCAGGGTAACACACTAAACCCTGAGTAATTAATCCCACCTCTTGATGAGTTATCATCTCTTGAAACCCCTGCTAGTCTGCTGGATCCATGTTAATATAAGGTCCCAGTCCCTAGCTGTGTCCAAATCAATAAAAAGTTCTGATAAGTTGGTGCCATATTTATACATGCTTCTGTCCTTTTGGTGTGTTGGAAGGAAACAAAGCCGCAGCCCCCTTGGTATGTCCCAAAGCAACTTACAGAACTCCTGGAATGTTCCAGAACCAGAATTGTATAATTTATTGGCACATCCCTTGCTCTAGAGAGTTTTACCCACTCTCCACAAGGATCCAGCCTCTTGGCATGGTTCACTGAAAGAGATGTTGTACTTTCCGATCACCCCGAGGTTCAACCATACCGGGTTTTTAAGACTTTTGATATGTTCCAATCGCTACATGGTCTGGCTATATCCCGATGGCCTGAATCTCTTGCTACAAGAGTCCCATTCCTCGGGCCCTCCCACACTGCAGCTTGACTGCCTAGGTATGCCTGATTACCTCCCCGGAGTCCCTGCCCTTGTATCTCTCAGAATCCACCAGGACAACCTCTCCACACAGCCTAACACAAGGTACCAGGGCCCTAGTGTGCTCTCTTCTCATCCCCATGGCCTCCTTCACTATCTTCGTACAATCCAAAGTAAGGGTCTTATATACACAGCCAGCCTGGGTGTCGCATTAGGGACAGAGGGATGCGACTAAGCGTCAGCCAGCCTCCCATCTCAGGGCCTCACCGTGCTGGGAAGCTGCAGCCCTGCGGTGCCTCCGGGCAGATAGCTGAGCATCTCATCATTGTAACTGGATTCCAGGCTGATGATCTCATCAATGACATCGTCAATCTGAGGGAAGAAGGGAATACGGACGAGGGTTAGAGGAAGCTGGATGACGGGGAGTGTGGTAAGGTTGTCTGCAGCTACTGACCTCCTTCTCTGAGCTGGACCCAATAGTGAGGAGGGCCATGGGGCTATTGGGGGCGCTGCCTGTGGGGCCAGCAGCATGGGCAGCCTCGGGCGCTGGTAGCGGCTGGGCGCCAGCAGCTCCCGGTGGTGGCGTGAGGGCCTGGGAAGCCAGCTTGGGGCCGAGTGTGGTGGACAGGTACTGTTTCACCTGCTGCCGGCGTGCCTGCTGGAGGTGGTAGCGCGTCGGGTTCTCTAGGTGGGTCTGCACCTGCGGGAAGGGGGCAAGGAGGGGTGGAAGGGGACAAGGTAGGATGGGCTGACTCTGTGCCCCAGGCTGACCCTCAGAGGTCACCTGTTTCTAGGCTCAGGCCAGCAAACCCAGCCCAGAATCAGAAACCCCTCCTACCTCCCCCAATACTGGGAAGTCTCCCAGAGACCCAAACTCTCTTTCTCAGAAATCCCTTAGTTCCTGGGGCACCCTGGCACAGGTCCCAAGACTCCCTCTCCAGTCTCTGACATCACCTAGGAGACGTAGAAGCCACACATGGCTTCCCAAGTCACTCCGATGGCCAAACTCCTAATGTATGACATACACAGGAAACTCTTCCTATGAATTTCTTCCTGGGGTTACTTCATAGGAGGCCCTAGGGCCCACTCGAGGCACTCACAACCTTCCAGGGCCCACCCAGACATCCTATGCCTCCTAATAACCCCTCACGGCTGCACGAGAATGCCTTGGAACCCCTAAATGTAACGGGACACTAACACAGCCTATTTGAACAGTAACTGGGACCTTCCTGAGAGCCCCTAGGACCTTGGCCCAAAAGCCACCACAACCACTCCTCAGTCACCGAGACCCCTCCCAGGGCCTCCGGATGTCACCTTACCTTGAGCACCTCCCTGGGCACCTGAGCAGGGGGAGGACGGCCCAGTGTGTGGCCCCCTGCAGAGACGCCCACAACTGAGATGGCAGGAGAGGCAGGGGCAGGGCTGGGGAAGGAAGAGGCTGCGGCCTGTTCCCGTCGCTCACGCCTCTCCTGCTCCTGGGCCTGGGCCCGCATGAGCTGCTGCCGCAGCAAGACCCGCGATGAAGAAGAGGACGACATGGCAGGGGTCCTGGAGCCCCCTGCAGAAGACGATGCAGAGAGTGGAGCTGGGGTGGCTTGCAGTGATATTGGGAGGCTGTGAAATGGGAAATACGGGGCCATAGGTAAGCTAAAAGTCTCGTCCTGAGCCTAAGGAGTCACCGTGGGAGGAAGCGGATGCTGGCATTAGGCCCGTTTTCTGCCTTCAGGGGCCACAACGTGGAGGGGGACACCCAGGAAGCACACCTGCTCAGGGCTCTCTGGGTTCACAGTCTGACAGGGGAGACACTGGGACCAGGCCGAGTCCCAGCCCTTAGAGGTCACAGTCTGGTGGGGGGAAGGTTTAGTCTTCCATCCTTATGGTGAAGGCTGGATCTGGGCCTGTTCAAACACTGAGGAGAGATGCCATTGCTAGGCTGTGTGAGGGGGGTCCATCCTATTTAAAGGAGAGCAGAAGGATGACAAATGGGGGCCATGGCAGTAGGTTAGGGTACAGAGGGCTCTTAAAGCTACATTTGGGGCTGAGGATGGTCAGTTTCTGGTCGTGGGCATCTGGCTACAGGGGCAAGCGCAGGGCCTTCCTCGGCCCCAGCCTGGGCCTCTAGACCCAGGAGCTAGGCAGTCTTGAAAATCTCAGAGATTTCACAATCCTCTCTTCCTGCCCCTCTTCCAGGTCCCCTCCCCTCTCTTAGAGCCCAGGCCGATGACTCAGCACATTTAGACTTCCAAGCTGGGGGAAGAAGAGACCAGCAGGGGTTCCTCAAGGGCTGGGGGGGGCGGTGAGTTTGTTGAGTGGGGAAAGGGGTGAGCAGGGATTGTGGGTACAGCTCCGCCCACCTGGCGGCTGGGCACCCGCAGGCCAACCAAGGCTTCCAGCAATATTTGTGTATGAATGGGTGTTCAGGTTGGGAGGAGGGAGGCAGGGGAGGTCTGGTTCAAGCTAATGGAATCCCAGCGTGGCCACCTGCTTTCCTGTGTGACTTACGCTTTCAGGCCCTTAATTTTACCATCTGGAAAATGCACTCTGCCGAAAGGGTTGCCCTGGCACTGAGGGCCTCTGCCTGTCAAGAGGGGATGGAGGGGCCTGAGGAATTGGGAGGGGAGTCAGGGGAGACAGACCTTGAGCGTAGGGGTAGGGGCTGGCTTTTCAGCTCGTAGAAGCTGTCCGGATCGAGGACGCTTTCTAATTCGATGTCAGCAACAATCCCAGATTCCGGAAGCAAAGAGTTGAGGCTGAGGGTGGAAGGGAGGGAAGGATGATGGTCAGTGAGTATATGGAGAGCTCACTCCCCTCCAAGAGAGAAAGAAAGAGTGGGCAGTGGGAAGGAGAGAGACACACATCAGGGGAGAGGGGAACAGAGTGCAGGCCGCAGAAGAGGCTACTCCTTGGGCACCACCATTGGGAATTCCCAGGTCTTCCTCTCTTCCCACACCCCTCTTCCCTCCCCACTTGCTTTTGCAAGGATTCAAAATAGTAACAGTGCCTGGATCCCAACTCCTCACTCTAACACAATCACGTGTAATAACCTGGGTTGGAGGGAAAAGAGAAGCAAAGAATTTAGGAAGGACAATTCACTTTGCAGGAGTCCTGACCTCGCATTCAGAGTTGTTCCAGCCCCCATACCCCCTCCTGGGGTCCTGGCAGCTGAATGTGAGCCCACGTTGGTCTACACACTTCCAGCACTGTGGGGGCACCCTTCGGCACAACAGTCCATTGTAACACAAACTGAATGCATCACAAAGAACTGGGGTCGATGATTCACTGGACAGAAGGATCCACCATTTTTGCAAATAAGTAACCCCCCCCCAGCCAGAGTTCAGGGGAAGCCAATACACACCCCAAATACAAAATGGAAATATCAAGGGCTCCCCTCATTCCGGTAATTTGGATTTAAAAGAGGGAGCGCTGGGGTGGGTGATCCGCTTCCGCAAGCATTCTTTTCTTGGCGGGAGGAGCCTGTCCAGCGTTCTCCTGGTTTTTTGTGACCGAACACACACACACATACAGGCGCGCGCGCGCGCGCGCACACACACACACACACACACACCTCCCTCTAAAACCAACATCCACTGACACAAAATAAAAAGCTGTACACCCCTCCCTTTCAACTATTCCCACTACTGTGATGAGCCAGGTTGTTTCGAAGGCATCAGAAAATGGGCAAGCATTGGGTGCAAAGGCTCTCACTCAGTCCTCCAGGCCAGGGGCAAGACCCTAGTGTGTAGGGAGCATTCACATGCACGTGAATAGATATGCATCCTGAATCGAGTCAAAGACTTAGAATCCTGAAACGCTGTGGGTGACTTCGCTTAACAAGAACTCTCTCCCGGCTCTGAGGATCTGTCTTCTTCCTTCCTTTCCTCACCCTCAGATGGGGACCTAAAACCACCCAGGAAGTTGAGAAGAGGAAGCTTGGGGAGGTGCTGAGCTCAGCACAATCCCAGGAAGAAAGCAGGCAAAGCCCCATCCCTGCTCACACCCATTGCACTGAAGTTTGAAGAGATGGGCACTGGGGTGGGCAGGGTGAGGATAGAGTGGGCTGGCGCTTACAAGCCTGCTGATTGAAGTGAGGATGTGAAGAAGCCACAGAGGACCCACCCAGGCAGGGATGGTGAACCTGGCCCTCATTCCAGCTCTAGGGACAGATTTGAGATGATGGATTTCCAGGGTCTGACTGTCTGACTGGCAGGGGGAGAAAAAGAATCCAGGCACGCGCAGAGGGTGAGCCAGGCTGGCTGAGAGGCTAGGATGGTTGGCAGCAGGAACGAGACCCTCCTCTGGGTTCCCAAGTAAAGTCTGAGGCCTTCTCCGAGCTAAGAAGTAGGACCATCTCTGTTGCCTCTGTCTGCCTCACTGTCTCCCATTCAAGCCCCTGTGGTGGGTGTGGGAAGAGGGCTTTTCCACTATCCCTGGGATCTGACCCAGCTGGGTGGGTGGGCAGGGGTAAAGTGATTTTTCTGGTCAAGCCTTGACGAATGTTGCTTCTCTTGCTCACTCACACACACACACACAAAGCTGGTCCCACGTAGCATATCTGAGATACCCCCAAATCCCTCCAGATTCCTGTTATCCCCAAACATAGTCAAGCAACCGGCCACGGGGAATCATCCAGCTTCCAAGACAGCACTTCTGTCTTCCAGGACCCCTTCTCTGACACTGAGGGGAAAAGTCCCTTCAGATCAGTGCCTTGCCTGCAGAGTACCCCCCCAAATTCATTCCCCTGACGCCTAACTCAAGGACCCCAAATTCAGCCCCAGTCCCCCAAGTTCAGTTGCCCCAGACCAGGCTCGGGACCAGTCAAGAGCCCCCCAAATTGAAACCAGGCCTCCCTTAAAGCACTTCCATGACTTCTTTAAGCCTCAGTCCAAGCAGGCCACCGGCGGATTCCTTAGGTACCCTCCCAAGACCGGCGCCCCGACGTCCTCCAAGCCTAGGCCGAGGGCCTGCAATCCCAGGCCCGGGATCCCGTTGTCCCCCCCAGATCAGGCCCCCCAGGAACCCCAGTCGGCACTACCGGTCCCAGGCGGCCCCGCACCTGAGCAGCTGGGCCGAGTCGGCTGGCCTGCGCTCCTCCAACAGCACGAACACGGCTCGAGGGCCTTCCGCGCTGGCCTCTACGCCGTCCCGAGCTGGCTCGGCCGCATGAGACATGACGCCCGGCCCCGGGCGAGCCCTGCCAGGCCGGTCGGGCCCCGGCCCGGTCCCCCTAACAAAATAAGAGTCCCCCTCCCCCCGTTCGCCGCCGCCTCCTCCGCTAAGCCATGGAGCGAGCTCTGCGCGGGCGGGCGGCGTCGGGACGATGGGATGGGCCGTGAGTCATCCCCCGCCCTGAACGGACCAACACCCCCCCCCCCTCAACCTAACCCCGGACGACCGCCCTCCTCCCCCTCGTCCTCTTCCCCCTCCTCCCTGGGCTGGGGAAACTCCACAGGAAGTGACCGCACGGTGGATGGACGGCTCGCTGGCCCACCCCCTCTGAGTGAGGCGGCCAATCATCGAGGGGTGGCTCGAGGGCCCGCCCTAAACTACGCCTCCGACACAGAGGGAAAACTCGATTCCGCTGGTCCTCATTCCGAGAAGGACGCATCTAGGCCACGCCCCCAGAGACAGTGGCCAATCAGCGAGACATACTTTGATTAAGCCACGCCCCCTCGCAAGCGATCCCTCCGCAGGATTTTTTCAAGCCGCTCCTTGCGTCCTCTGCGCCTGCGCACCGATGGCCTGTCAGCTCGCAAAGGGTCTCCGGGCCACGCTTCTAGCAGCAGGACCGCGCCCCCTCTTGGCCGATATTTGTAATGACAGCTCCCTAGATCGCGAGGCAACCTCCACCAGCCGTGCCTCCTCAGCAGAAGCCTTAACTGGGAGGCCTAGGCAGCTAAGTTCCCCGGAGGTGCGAACCAGAAACCCCGCCCTTTCGGTACCCACAAACTAACCGCCCAGCTGGTCTTCCCGGGAGCATTGCGCCTACTCTGTGTCACCTAGAGCAGTTGCTGTACTAGGTCGTTGTACTACATAGTGAGTGCTTAATAAATCCCTGACAGACGAATGAATGAGTGAAAGGATGGAAATCTGGTCCCTTCAGTGAATGACTTCTAGAATAATAAAGATCCGGTTTGGATTTGAGCAAGGGACTGCCCCTCTCCGATCCTCAGCTTTCCTGGCCTGTCAGATGGGGGTCATAATTACCTGTCTGGCAGGATTGTTATGAGGATTAGAGATAAGTTATGAAAAGTGGAGCAGGTTGTTTGGCATGCAATCGGCTCTCCAAAACTTGATTCACTCATTTGTGCACTGGCTGAACAAATATTTATTGAGCTCCTCTGTGTTACAGATACAGGCAAGCTGGCTCACACACAGCAGATGCCCCAGCCATACACAGTCAGCTCAAAGAACACCTGGACCCGCACCCTTCCCTTCCTCCTTCCCAACATCCCAAGACCCTTCCCATTTGTTGGACCTCAAATAACTTCACTGAGTTCTCATCCGTCTAGCGCGTTACTGTTTTGGCCCAGGACGTTGGCTTATTAAACACGCACATCCCCACATGCTCGCACAACCCCAACTCCATTACCCACATAATAAAGATGACAATTAGCTCCCAAATTAAACTTTTTTAAAAAAAAGATTTATTTATTTATTTCGGGGGGGGGGGCACATGCATGGGGCAGAGGGAGGGGGAGAGAGAGTCTCAGCTGGTCCTGGGGCTTGATCTCAGGAACCTGAGATAACAACCTGAGCCCAAACCAAGAGTCTGGTACTTAATTGATTGTGACACACAGGCCCGCCCCTTCCATTAATCTTAAAAAAAAAAAAATCAACACATTACCAATAAAAATTCCAAAATGGAGCTGGTAGACCTGTTGTTTAAGTTCTTATGGTGCCTTAAATATGTAAGAATATCTAATTTGAGGGGCGCCTGGGTGGCTCAGATGCTTAAACTTCTGCCTTCCGCTCCAGTCATGATCCCAGCGTACTGGTATGGAGTCTCAGCGGGGAGTCTGTTTCTCCCTCTCCCCCTGCTTATTCTCTCTCTCTCTCTCTGTATCTGTCTCAAATAAATAAATAAAATCCTTTAAATAAATAATATCTAATTTTATGAAAGAGGAAGAAAGGGGGAGGCATAATCTTAACAAATTCAGAGTATATCACAAAGCACTAGTAATTAAAACACTGTGATACGGGAGTTGGAATAGAAAATTAGATCTATGGCACAGGAAAAGTCCAAAAATCGACTTAGGTACTTGTGAGAATTAGTAAATGATATTTTAAGAACGATATTTCAAGTAACTGGGAGGGAGATGGACTAATTTATCTAAATGGGTTGGGGAGAAATGATTATCTTTTGGGAGAGGGATCAGACTCCTAATTTACACAATTCAGAAAAAAATAATTCCATGGGGCACCTGGCTGTCTCAGTTGGTGGAGCATGCGACTTTTGATCTCAGGGTTGTGAGTTCGAGCCTCATGTTGGGTGTAGAAGTTACTTAAAACTAAAATCTTTTGGGGGCACCTGGGTGGCTAAGTGTGTTAAAGCCTCTACTTTCAGCTTGGGTCATGATCCCAGGGTCCTGGGATCGAGCCCTGCATCGAGCCCTGCATCGGGCTCTCTGCTTAGCGGTGAGCCTGTTTCCCCCTCTCTCTCTGCCTGCCTCTCTGCCTACTTGTGATCTCTGTCTGTCAAACAAATAAATAAATAATCTTTAAAATAAAACCTAAAATCTTCTTTAAAAAGGGAAAAGAAAAAGGAATTTCAGATTAGTTAAAGACCTAAACATTAAAAAAAAAAAAACCTATAAAAAACATCAGAACAGGGTCACCTATGTGGCTCAGTCTGTTAAGCATCGGCCTTCGCCTCAGGTCATGGTCCCAGGATCCTGGGATCCAGCCCCACGTTGGGCCCCCTGCTCGGGGGAGTCTCCTTCTCTCTTTGCCTCTGCTCCTCCCCTCGCTTGTGTTCTCTTTCTCCCTCTCAAATAAATAACATCTTTTTAAAAATACCACATCAGAACAGAATATTTTTGGAGAATGTGTTTAAAACCTTGACAAAAAAAAGCCTTCTTGGGGACCTGGGTGGCTCAGTGGGTTAAAGCCTCTGCCTTCGGCTCAGGTCATGATCCCGGGGTCCTGGGATCAAGCCCCTCATCGGGCTCTCTGCTCAGCAGGGAGCCTGCTTCCCTTCCTCTCTCTCTGCCTGCCTCTCTGCCTACTTGTGAACTCTGTCTGTCAAATAAATAAATAAAATCCTTTAAAAAAAAACAAAAACAGAACCTCACAACAGTAAGGTTCCATTTATTATCCCAATGTCTAGAACAGGAAACCAGGGTACAGCTAGGTTAAGTCATTTGCCCTAGGTCACCCCAATTTATAAAACCTGGAATTAGAACCCAGGCATTCTTTACCACCCCGCTGCACCAGTTTGATCCCATGGAAATATAAAACCGTAGTCCATTGCAAGATGCTACAAAGTTAAAAAAAAAACTTGCAGCTGACTGGGAGAAAAAAAATCTACAGCATTAGACCCCCAGGTTAATTATCCTGTCACACACCCCAGTTCTACAAACACCAGCTTCATACACAGACCCCAGATATGTCCATGACAAATGCTTCCCCATCACCTGCACAATAAACCCATTCTTCATCTCCCTCAGTCTCTCTCTTAATCTTTTGCTCACATCTTTCCAACTTTTTCAACACCGCGCTTTCTCTCTCTCTCTCTCTCTCTCTCTCTCTCTGGTGCATCTGGGGTCTCATTGCAAGGCAACTGTGGAGTGGGATTAACAGAAAATATGGAGGGAAAAGAGAGGGCAATTGGAGGGTGACATTGGGGATGTTTAGAGACAGATGTGAGTGGAGATCAAAGGTGGCTTGGGGCGAGGTTGGGATCTATTACAGGACAGTTTGTACGCAACTAAAGGATCACGTGAAGGGCTTCAGGAGGAATGGGGCTGCTAGCAGCAAGTTTAAGAGTGCAGGCGGGAGCCACTGAAGGGTGAACTGAGAATACCATTGGAGGATTGGAAGGGACTATGGGAAGTTGGTGAGTGATTAGAGACAAAGTCCGGTCTTCTGTAAAGTTATTAAAGACAGAGCTGTTCACTCTCATAGGATGGTGTGGTCAGCTGACTAATGGCTCCCCAAAATACGTCCATGTTTTAATCCCTGGTACCTGTGAATCTTACCTTGTGTGGCAAACAATTCATTGCAGATGTGATTTAATTACGAATTTTGAGATGGGGAGATTATCCTGGATTATCTTAATAGAATCTGGTTGTAATCTCAAATGTCCTTATAAGAGGAAGGCAGAGGCAGCTTTGATAGAAAAGGAGAAGGCAGGGCGCCTGGGTGGTTCATTGGGTTAAGCGTCTGCCTTCGGGTCAGGTCATGATCCTGGGGTCCTGGGATCGAGCCCTGCATTGGGCTCTCTTTCTCCCTCTCCTTCTGCTGCTCCCCCCGCTTCCCCACCCAATAAATAAATGAAATCCCAAATAGAAGAGAAAGAAAAGGAGAAGGCAATGTGACCACTGAGGCAGAGATCTTAGCGATGTAGCCACAAGACACAGAATGAAAAAGCAGCCACAAGAAGCGGGAAGAGGCAACAAGAAGATTCTCCTCCAAAGCCTGCAGAGAGAGTACAGCTCTTCCGACACCTTGATTTTGACCCAGTGAAACTGATTTTGGGTTTTGGGCCCCCAGAACCCTGAAAGAATACAGTTCTTATATTTAAGCCGTCAAGTGTGTTGTAATTAGTTATAGCAGCCACAGGAAATGAACACAGATTTTGGTGCATGCATGCACATGGATTGTGGCTTTGTCCTAGTCCGCTTGGGGTGTCCTAATAGAATATCACAGACTGGGCACATTAAATAACAGAAATGTATTTTCTCACCGTTCAGGAGGCCAGAAGTCTGAGACCAAGGTGTCATCTGGATTCATTTCTGATAAGGACTGTCGGTCTCACAGGCAGATAGTTGCTTGTTGTTGTGTCCTCACATGGTCACTCCTCGTTTTTATTTATTTATTTTTCTTTAAAAAAAGATGCTATTTATTCATTTGACAGAGAGAGAGAGAGAGAGAGAGAGCACAAGCAGGGGAGAGAAGCAGAGGGAGAAGCAGACTCCCCACTGAGCAGAGAGCCTGATGCGGGGCTCGATCCCAGGACCCTGGGATCACGACCCAAGCCAATGGCAGACGCCCAACTGACTGAGCCACCCAGGGGCCCCCTTCCTCTTTTTTTTTTATTTATTTGAGAGCGAGTGTGCATGCATCAGGAGGAGGGGCAGAGGGAGAAGGAGAGAGAAAATCTCACGCAGACTCCATGCTGAATGCAGATCCTGACCCGGGGCTCGATCTCACAACCCTGAGATCATGACCTGAACCGAAATCAAGAGTCAGATGTCCAACAGACTGAGCCACCCAGGCACCCCAATCCTTTTTATATATATACAAGCAGAAAACTTAGTTGAACTGTGTCCTACAGTTGTGTGAAAAGCAGAGCTTCTTAGTGATGATCTTGGATATTCAGGGGAGGAGATTTGCAAGGAATGTGTCGGAGGTACTGCTTGATTGCTCATACTGCTTTTAGGAACATGTGAAAGGAAAGAGATAAATTGAGGGAAGAACTGCTATGCAAAATGGATCCAGGATTTGGTGGTCTGGAAACTTCTCTGGCTGTCCAGATTGCAGAAGATACAGAATTTAGGAGATTTACTTTCAGCAAAGTATGTTCTGGAGAGAGAGCCAAAGGTGTGGCTGGACAGCCTTTTGCTAGTACTAAAGAGATTAGATGTGTGACTCATGGATCCTCTCAACCATTTCAGCAGAAGTCTGGAATGAGGAAGGAACCTTCCATGAAAGTTTTGTGGAAGACTCTTTGGTCTACTGGTGTAAATCCTTGGGACTTCCATGAAGACCCACAAAATTTTTGAGGATGAATGTTATACTGACAGAAACACTGGCCCAGTTGGCTTGCAAGAAATGGAGATAGGATGAAATGAAGGAAGGATGTTGGACTCCCAAAATTCTACTGGAAGGACACAGGGCTAAAGCTACTTAGCAGCAAACATGTGCTACCCTGCAAAAGAAAGGATTAATGATTCTGAGGGCAGAGTGATGGGCCCAAAGGTGGAGCCCCACGTCACTGTGAATTAGTCCCCGGTCTTGAAACCTAATGGAACGTGCTCTGTTGGATTTCAAAATTACTTGGGACAGTGACACCTTGTTTCTGTCCATTTTTTTCCCTTTTGGATTAAGAATGCCTATAACTCCTATCTTATGTCTGTCCCACCACTGTGTTTTGGGGACAGATAATTTACTTTCTAGTATCACAAGCCGGGTGATAGAGAGGAATTTTGCCTCAGGTTGGATCATACCCAGATTCTCACTTATACCTGACTCAGATGATAAAATTTGGAACCTTTGGGCTGATGAAACTTAAGTGAGATTTTGAGGGGCTCCTGGGTGGCTCAGTCGTTAAACATCTGCCTTCAGCTCAGGTCATGATCCCAGAGTCCTGGGATTGAGCCCAGCGTGGGGCTCCCTGATCTGCAGGAAGTCTGCTTCTCCCTCTCCCACACCCGCTGCCTGTTTCCCCTCTCTCGCTGTGTCTTTCTCTGTCATATAAATAAATAAAATCTTTTGTTAAAAAAGTGAGATTTTGAAGTTGAGTTGATGCGGTAATGGATGAAAGTTGGGGGGTATTGGGATGAGGTACATGTATTTTGCATGTGGGGTAGATGTGTATCTTTGGGGACCAAAGGGTATAGTATTGAATGATGCCCCCCCCCAAAGATATGCACATCCTAATTCCTGGAACATGTGAGTGTACTTTAGATGGCAAAAAAACAAAAACAAAAACAAAAAAAAAACCGAAAGGAAAGGAAAAGAAAAGAAAAAGGACTTTGCAGTTTACAGATGTGATTACGGTGAGGATTTTGAGATGGGGAGATTATCCTGGATTATCACTATCACGAGGACCCTAACTGTAATGACAGGTGTCCTTATAAGAGGGAAGCAGAGGCAGATTTCAGAGATGGAATGGATGGCAATTGTGACCAAAGCAGAGATTGTACTGATGGGGCTACAAGCCAAGGAATGCTGAGAGTCCCCATTGTAAGAAGTGGTGACAAACAGATTCTCCCCTAGAGTCTCTGGAGGGATTATGGCCCTGCTGGCACCTTGACTGTGGTCTTCTGGCCCCCAGAACTGTGAGAGAATACATTTCTTAGGTAGTAAGACACCAAGTTTGTGGAAATTCATTACAGCAGCCACAGGAAGCTAATGAAAATGGCTTGGGGTAGATTTGGTGATTGTTGGAGGGATGATGCTCAGAGATTATTAAAGACACTTTGAGGGACGCCTGGGTGCCTCAATCGGTTAAGCATCTGCCTTCAACTCAGGTCCTAATCTCGGGGTCCTGGGATCCAGCCCTGTATGGGTGGGGGGGCGAGTCCCTGCTCAGTGTGGAGCCTGCTTCTCCCTCTCCCTCTGCCCCTCCCCCTACTTGTGTTCTCTCTCTCACTCTCTCTCAAATAAATAAATAAAATCTTGAAAAGAAAAAGACAGTTTGAGGGTATAATTAGGAGCCATTGGAAAGTGTTTGGGCATTGTTGGAACCATCAAAGGGAAGACTGAAGGGGTTTGGTGGGTTACTGGAAGGTGGTTTGGAGGTGTAGTTGGGAGACTGGGAATGTAAATGAGGAATGCTTACAGATAACATTGGGGACTATTATAGGGAAGTTTAGAGTGTAGTTGGGAGTTTTTGGAAGGTGGTTTGGGTGGTATGGAAAAAACAGAGTTTTTGTGGGTATGGTTGCATGTAATTTAAAACAAGGTTGGGTATAGTGATCATTGAAGAGTGGTTTGGAGGCATATTTTTGTGCTGCAGAGTATGGTTGGGAGGATACATGGGGAGCGATTTGGGGTCCATGGGGGTGTTTTCGGTGCATACTGGGGGTGGACGGGAGAGGGACTTGGAAGTGCTCTTTGGAGGTTAATGGTTTCAAGGCTGATTGCAGATGGTTTAGGGGAACGGGTTGGGGGGTAGTGAAGGGTAGTTTATTCCTACAGTTCGGGAGTCCACGGAGGTTGGATTGGGGGTACTGCTTGGGATCAGTGGATCATAGTTTGGGGATGCAGTTGGGGGGATGATGGAGGGTGGTTTGGAGACACACAAGTTTAGAGGAGAGTTTAGAGGTGTGGTGGTCGCTGATAGAAGGCAGTTTGGGGAATTGTTTGGGGGTCCGTTGGTGGGTGACTTGGAGTGAGGGGCGCCAGTCTGATCGCGGAGGGGGCGTGGCCTCCATAGGAGAGCGCTCCACCACCCCTCGAGAAAGAGTGTGCGCACGCGCTCCCAGCTGGTTCGCTCCTAGCGCTCCGAGGGCAGGAAAATCGAAGACCCAAACTAGCGCCTGCGCACTAGGTCTCCGCCGCTGCTGTGGTCTCGCGCCCCGCCCCCCGTCCCCCCACCTCCCCCAGGCTCGCGCTCAGCGGCGGCTGTGTCCGTGCCGCCGGGAAGGGACGGACCCGAGGTGAGGGTCGGGGGGGCCGGGGTCCACCGGCCGCGGCCGAGCCGGCGCGCCTCTCCCCCTCTCCCCGCGCCCCCCGTCTGGCCCCCACGGCTAACAGTCGCGCGGCCGAACGCGGCCCACGGGCAGGGCGCGGAAGGGGGAGTAAGCGCGAGGCCGGTACGAGCGGGTGGGGGGCGGCGAGGGAGGGGCGCGCCCACCACCCCTCCAGGCCTGCAGGGACCCCGCCTACGTCGCGGGACGCGGACCTTCGGTGAGTAACGCCCGCTTGGAGAAGAAGGGAGGAGACAGGGCGGGGTGAGGGCTCGGTAACGCCAACAGGGGATGTACTTGCGCGCGCACCCGCGACCTCTGACCCTGTGGTCTCACTCCAGACCCCGACCTGACCTGACTACATCTTTTTTTAACCTCGAGCTCTGGCCAGTCTTGGCCCCAGGACCTCCGATCTCACCCCCAACCTAACCATATTCTGGCCTGGTGTGATCCTCAATCCCTGTTTTGTTCCCTTAAACCCAGCCCTGACCCCAAACCCCACCCAGTTCTGCTCTCGGGATCCTTGGCCTGCCCCTGCTCCATCTCTGAAGCTCATCTTGCCTTGTCCTGATCATCCCAGTTTCTGGCTTGATGCTTGACCTGTCTGTTCCCTAAACTCTTGTTCAGCCCCTGATCCCCTTCCAGTCATGTCCTGTCCCCCTAACTGCAGTCTGATCCAGGTCTGTCTGGATTCCTGATCTCTGAATTCTAAACTTTCTCCCCACCCTGTGCTATCCTCCTGGTCCCCTCCTGACTCCCCATCTCCCTCCTGGCCCACCCCCTTTAGACAGTCCCTCTGTTTCCTGCCCTGTCCCTGCCCCCACCCCTGTGCTGTTTTCCCCTGTCTTCTCTTGTCCTATCACTGTCCTCATTCCTCTCCTTATTCTGTCCCAGTCTTTTCCTGTTCCTTACCTCCATTATGAACTGGCCTTTTCCCCTCTCCCCTTCCTTGACCACCATCTTGGCCTGTCCCCCATCATGTCTTCTGACTACCATTCTATACTGACCCTTCCCTGCTCTTTTGTTCCTTGCTGCCCCCCTACGTTTTCCTCTGACCCTTGTCCACAACCTCACTCTATCCCATCCCCTGGCCAGTGTCTTGGCTCCTTCTCTGTCCTGCCTCCTGACCTCCATCCTATGATGACTCTGATTCTGTCTTGACCCCTACACTCCTTCCTGTTCTCTTCCTTCATCCCCTCCCAACTCCAGGCCCTTGTTCTACCCCTCACCACGCCCCTCCACCCTGTTCAGATCTCCCTCTTCCTAACACCCACTTTCCCTCTCCTCTCAGCCCAGAAGAACTAGGGTCCTGTTATACCCTGCCCCTGAACTTAGAGGTTCTACTATTTCCATGATTGCAAGTTCATCCCAAATGCTTCTCTTAGTATAAGCAAGAGCAAACAGCCTTGGCCCTGTGTGGCTAAGGGGGTTTTCATATGTGATGCCCTTCACCCTCACCCAGTGATCTCACACACAGCTTGCATTTGTCTCCCTGCCCCAGGAGGTCATGTAACTGTTCCTATGTCCCCCCACCCTACCCAAGTGTGAAAGAACATCCTAAATTATTCAGTGACTCTCTGGGAGTCTGTGAGGTCTGGATCATGTTTCCAGCCTGGCTAGGTTGGGGGCTGCCCCATGTCAAGGTGGGGGGTGTGGTGAGCAAACATGCAGGGGTGGGAGACTCAGGAGTATGTGTGACTCTTCCGTGTCATGTTAACCCCCATCTGCTAGTCCTGATCCTGGGTGTGCATGATCTCTGCTTTCCTGGCCTGAAAAAATCCATTCCAGGCCAGAGGCTTCAGGGCTTGATGGGGGTGGGATGGGGGTTAGAGGGGTTCTATCCCCCTTTCTCTGCTGTAAGCAATACAAATTTCGGTGCTAAGTCCATCCCATCTGTGTGTGTGTGTGTGTGTGTGTGTGTGTGTGTGTGTTGGGGGCATGTGTGTCGCTGGGTGTTAGAATTAGTCCTATCCTGTATTGACAATAACAGCTAGAGCAATACAAGTTTCTTTCACTGAATCTCCTTGATTCTGAGGACAGGCAGGGAGAATTTGGATAGCAAGAAGGTAACGTGTTATTCAATTGTGTTTTGTTCCTGCATTTGTCATAGAGAGTAGTAACAGCTTGAATAATGAGATACTAGACCCCTCTCATTTATCTAAAACACTTATCCAAACCTATTTTTTGAGCCCAATGTGAGGCTTGAACTCATAACCCTGAGATCAAAACCTGAGCTGAGATCAAGAGTCAGACGCTTAACCAACTAAGCCACCCAGGCACCCCTGTCCAAACCTACTAATAACAACACAAGCGTTCATTGTTCCAGTGTCTGTCTAGCACCTGACTTCTGAGAGGGAGCACTCGGATAATCCAGACAGTGAAAGGTACCAAGTTATCTGAAGAGGTTTTTTGTTTGTTTGTTTTTGCATTTTACATAGTGGGGAGGGTTCAGATGATGAGGGATAATGGCTCCAACTAAAAGATATATTCAAATCGATTCATTTCCTTGAACTCTAGTGGCAGGAGTTGGAACAGTAAGAGGACTGTGTTGTGTGAATATATTTGGTTCCTGCATTTTGCCTGGTGAGTAAGGGAAGCTCAGAGAGTACGGGACGCCAATTCTATCTCAAAGGTGTATCCAGATCCATTCAGGTCCTGTATGTGGATAGTGAGCTTTTGGAGAATGTGTCTGAATAGGTTTGGTTCCTGCATTGTTGATGTTGGGTAGCTAGAGGTCTGATAATGATGGAAAACAGCTCTGTTTCAAATATGTCTGGTTTGATATTTAGGGAGGGTTCAATGTCTGGGTGATAAGTGGGGAGGCTGTGGAGGCTGAGGTATACCAGTTCTGTCTCAGCAGTGCATCTGCATACATTTAGTTTCTGATTTTGGATAGTGAAGAGTTTGGACATGCTTATTTGAGGGAAAACAGCTCTGTTTGAAATTTATCGGGTGGAGCTGGGGGTACCAGCTCTGTCTCAAACACACACACACACACACACACACACACACACACGATTCCCGAGTTTGGATTGGGAGGAATGTTGTAATTATGACGGCCAATATATATTGAGCACTTACTTACCAAGGGCCAGTTACTGTCCTAAACAGTCTTAAGTGTCTTAATTCATGTCATGCTCACAACAGCCCTGTGAAGTGCATATTGTTGTCATTACCCCTGTTTTACAGATGAAGACATTGAGGCTCAGAGAGGATAAGTGACTTGTCTGGGCAGCCACATAGCCATAAGTGGCAGAGCAGGGTTGAATCCCAGAGCCATGGTTTCCTACCCCTACAGGAGGCCACATGGGGCTCAAGTCCCAGCTGTGGTGGGACCTAGAGGTTGGCCATCTTGCAGGACGACGATGTGTGTGGGTGATTCTGCCCCACCTGTTGGCCTGGCCCAAGAGGCCCAATTACCTGCTCTCCCCTCCTTACTCCTGCCCTAGCCCATCTCCACACGGGTTTATTATTGTTGTTATTAACAGACATTAACGACGTGGTGTGAGTTTCCTTGTACTTTGAAATGCCTTCCAAAGTGATTCTGGTCTCTGTTGGCCCTGGAAATGCTGTTTACCCATTTTACAGATGAGGAAAGCTAAACCTTGGTGCTCAGTCTGCATTGCCAGCCAGATACCCTTGGCCGTCTCAGCTCTGGGTTCATAAGTGTCCCTCTTCCCATCGTTCTTGCTGTCCCCCAAGAGGCGGGAGAGAGGCCGTGGCTGAGGGGACACTCCCCATGGACACTCAGCCACCCACCTTATGGCTGCTGCCTCCACCAGCCCTAGGCAGTGGAGGCGAGGGAAGGGGGCGGATGAAAGGAACCTTTGTGTCCCGTGCCAGAAATCTCACTCCCAGGAAGAAAGGTGGGCAGGGTGGCAGGAGGCCTCGCATTGCGTGTCTACATATACGGGGCAGGGCATTGCTGGAACAGTGCTCCCCTCCAGGCTTGGCCCCCCTACCAAGTGGGGAGGGAGCTTTCCTCACTCTGCTCTTTCACATCACAGCATGGGCTGCTGCAGGGGCCCGGGTTGGGCTTGGGCCCTGAGGTCACAGAGCAGATGGTCCCAAATGGAGCACAGGATGTGTGGTATGTGCCGGGGCAGGCCAGAGCCCTCAATTTCCTTGACTCCTGGCCAGAAATGCTCAAGGGGGAGGGGTGGGGCAGAGCCAACCTGGATGTGAAGAAGCATGAGCCCCCTCCCCACTTTTCCTCCCTTGCAGGAGTAGCCCCTGTCCACCTCCAGCCCAGGACCCGGCCCCCCACGTTCTGAGTCCACCCGCTCTTATGCATCTGTGATCAGAATCAGGCCTCCTCACCTCTCCGAGCCCCAGCTTCCGCATCTACGAGCTGGCTATGAAGAGCTGGGTCTGCGTCATCCTCCCAGGTTTGTAGGGAGCAGTAGGGGTGAAAATGTGCATGATGTGTCAGTTGGCTGGGATGATTTCTTCTGGAGATGCAGAAGGTGGTAGGGCCTTGACACCCCAATCTTTCCTTGGAGAAGCTGGCCTCCTCTGTCCTGAGTTTGGCAAACTGTTACCCCAGTGAGGGTGGCGGTTGCCCCAAGACCTTCTCCCGCCTGTGCCTTGCCCTGGGAGGGAAAGGTAGGGGCCTCAGGCACGTGATGCTTGCTGCCAAGAGATACACCTGATTTATACCCGTGTGCTTAACAAGTCCCCAGAACTCCGTCCTCAGCTCCCAGGCAATGCCCTTGGGTGGGCAGGGTCTGATGTGGGCTTCTGGGTAGCACTAGAGGCAGCTCCACTCCCACGACCCTTGGCCCTTCTTCCTTTGTTCTCTACTAGGTGACTGGGGTGAGTGGGGACATCTGGGCTCTTTTCTTGGTCATGCTGAACACCCTGAAGGGACCTGGCCCTGAGATTGTCCCTGAGGGTGTCCTGAGCCCTGGTGACAGGCAGGCAAGGGTTAAGAGGTATGGGCTGGCCCAGGCCCTGGCCAGGTAGGCTGGGCTATTGCCTAGTGGGAGGCGGCCTAGGCATCCGCCACTGTGCTCACCGCTCACTGCCACTACCATCTGGAACAGGGCCTGATTGAGACAACTGTCTTTTTTTTTGAGGTACCTGAGGCCACCCCACAGCACCTCTCCGGAGTTGGTGAGCACCTGGGAACAGGGGGCCCAGGGGCGGGGTGGCGGGGAGAAGGGTGTAGGGTGTACTGAGCCTTCCCCTGGGAGAAAGCCAGGTCTGTGTGAGGAGTACAGTGAAGAAGGAGGGCCTGAGTAGAGGAGTGAAGCCCAAAATGTTCAATTTCCTCTCGTGGCATGAAGCCGATTCCTTGCTGGAAATGAATGAGGAGAAAGGATGGGGGAGAAGAGAAGTGAGAGTCCTCCTTCTCCACTGTCCCCCCTACTTCCTCTCCCCCTTCCTCCCCTGGGGAGTAGCCTCTGCCTTCCTGCAACCCCGGGGCCCTGGGGGAAGCCCAGACAGGGCTATTGAGAAACTGCTTCCCAACACCTGCCTGCCCCCGATCTGTTCACCCAGAGTGGGGGCTGGGGTGGGGGCTCTAGGGCAGTGTGGGGAGCAGTCCCAGACACTGGGAGTTTGTATTTGCCCCACTAGTGGCAAGATAGGGAAATGGGGGGTCCCCACTGAGGTGTTAGGGTGCCACCCAGGTGAGGTGTCTTGGTTGTAAACAGTCATTACGGCCAGGCCAGGAATTTCTTTCTCGGCTGTGGTGTCAGAAGGGCAGACCTGAAAAACCTGCTGGGCCCGCCTCTGGGTGTGTGTGGGGGGTACCCTCTCAGCTCTCCTGCTGCAGCCCAGCCTGGGACAGGACTCAGGGGCTGGGGGGAGGGAAGTTAGGGAAGGGGACTGCTGGGAACCCCCTTCGATCCCTGTCTGGGTGGGGACAGGGCAATTCTGGACCCCAAGGCAAATGTGCAGAGGGCAGGCAAGCAGAGGCTGAGGTTTGGGAGCTGGCTGTGGGGGTGTGAGGCATTGACCCTGTGTCTAGCCTACCCAGTGACCCCGTGACTCAGGCCCTAGCTATGTCCCCAAGGTCAGGCTGACAGGGTGGAGTCGGGGTTCCTGTCTAGACCCCATGTTGACTTCCAGGATGCCATGAGCTCCCAGGGAGGGAAAGCTCAAGGCAGCCCAGCATGGGATGTGGGACCTATCCTGGTGAATGGGCCCACCAGGGAGGAGTTGAAGTTCCTGTTGGGGTGGAGCCCTGGGAGAGTGCCTCAGACTCAGCTGGGAGCTGGGGAGGAAGGAGCTCCGGGAGCTTAGGGGCCCAAGAGGTTGAGCCCGGACCTCAAGGAAGCCCCGCCATGCCGGGCGACATCAGGCTGCTTCAGAGTACATGCTGCTGCCTGGCTGTGCAGAAAGGCTCTCAGGCCTGACCCCTGCCCCTGAGAGCGAGGACAGGGGGCCACCGTTTGCCGGGACTCAGTAGCAGGCCTGGTGGCCCCATGTTAACAGTTTGGCCACATTCCACAGCAGATAGATGGGGAGGGGGCTTGAACCCTCACCTCCTTGGCCGCCTTGGTCTCCACCACACCTGGCCCCTGCAGCACGACAAGCTGGGATGAGGAAGGGAGGGGACCTCTGTGGCCTCATGAGGCCCTCCCAGTTTACTGCTGCCTGCCCGAGGTCAGGCCAGGTGGTGGAAGGTGATGTCACCTGGCTCCCCAGCTGGGGAATGAGCAGGATGTGGGAGGGAAGGAGCAAACTCCAGAGGAGGGGATGAGGGCAGGGCTGGCGGCCAGCCAAGGCAGGCTCTGTGGTCAGCCAGGGTGTTTGGGGGCAGAGAAGGAAGCAGGAGGCTTGTTATCTGCAGCTGTGGACTTTGCTGCTCACGGTCCCAGCAGGGTGACTCCCTTCTGACTCCCTTCTGCCGGTACAGGACTAGAACTGACTGGGGTGGGCAGAGGGACTGGAGGGGTCACGGGGCTAAGTGAACACTCTCCCTGTGGCACCGGGGCCGCAGGATGGAGTTGGGATGAGGAGAGACCCACAGATCTGGGCTAGATCCATATCTCAGGTCCCTTGGCATTCTCTCACTTACGCAACAGCCATTCATTGAGTGCTCACTGCTGGCTCAGGAGTGTTCTGAGGGCCAGAGATAGGGTGAAAACAGGACAGGTATGTTTCTTGTCCTTGTGAACATGCAAGGGAAGCACAATCTCTTGTTGGACAGCAGTTTTGAGGGGACCTGGGCAGGGGCCCACCTCTGGAAGTGACATGCAAGCCCCGTGGTGTGTAAGCTTGCCCCCCTGGGGCCGGAGGGGTGAGACATGACAAGAGTGTTCCAGATAGCAGCCACAGCCTGGGCAAAGGCCCTGAGGCCTGCCGGGCTGGGAGCTTATGAGGAATTGATGGGCTTGGAGCAACTCCAGCCAAGGAGGGTCAGGCCCAAGGGGTGGGCCTGGGCCGCATCCTTAGCCAGTGGGCAGGTTATTTACCCCTCTGTGCCTTAGAGTCCTCGTCTCAGAAATGGGGGCAGTGATCACAGAACTGCCATCAAAGGGTGGTTGGAAGATTGGGTGTGGCAGGGAAGGTGACTGTTCCAGGACCCAGGTGCTTTATCAGTGCCCACCGTTGTTAGAGTTGGTTGAATCTGTACAGTTCATTCTCCCTCCCTAGGCAGGACTCCTGACTGCGGCCCATGGGCCTCTGAGGAGGCGTCGTAAGTCTGCCTAGCTCCCCACGTGCTGTGCGTCCACTCAATGGGAAGGGGACCAAGGTACCAGGGCCCAGTGGGGCCAGACGCGGATACGGATTCTGAGAGGGCAGGTTGATCAGGCGGGCAGGGTCAGGGTTCCCCTTACTCCCAGCTAGGGTGCGGGGCGTTGGGCAGGGGCAGGGGTTGGGGGAAACGTGGGATGCACTTCCTTAACAGCTCCTGTGCGTCACTGCCAGGCCTTGTCCAGCCATCAGCCACGGCCTCTCGACAGCACCAGGATGGAAGTCAAAGGTCAGCTGATCAGCTCGCCCACCTTCAATGCCTCAGGTGGGTGGCTGGTTCCCCTTCTCTGCCTCTGCCCCCACCTCTGAGTCACCGCCTGCCTACTTTGAAAGGGTTGGTCCTTGGCTGCACAGCTGCGCCAGGATGCTCTGGCTGATCTTTGCCTGGAACTTTGCTCCCTCTTTGTCCAGCTGCCCTGTTTGGAGAGGCTGCCCCCCAGGTGAAGTCAGAGCGTTTGCGGGGGCTGCTTGACCGGCAGCGGGCCCTGCAGGAGGCCCTGAGCCTGAAACTTCAGGAGCTCCGCAAAGTGTGTCTGCAGGAGGCGGTGAGGGCCGGGCCCTAAGTGTCTGGTGGTGGGGCGCGGTGAGGACCTGGAGGCCCTAGGCAGGCAGGTTGGAGTGGCAAGTGCCAAGCCACCTGTCTGGGCGGTAGATTCCCTTTCACCCTCTAGCTCCTCAAAGCTCAACTTCGATGTGTTAGAGTCAGTAAAATATGGTGGAGCAGGCCCTCAGTTCCCTATCAGCAATTTGAAATCCCCAAACCCTTCTAAACAATAGTCATTTCCAAAATCTGCCAGTAAAACCTGGCTTGAACTGACAAGGGGTGAGTTACCGTTTTGATTTACCCCTCTTGGTGTGAACAGCTACGCAGTTGGCCAGAACCCATAACGCAGTTCACAGCATGCAGCCCCAGGCCCTGAGGGGAGCGTGACGTCATATGCAGTATATAGACCTGTGGCCTTTATGAAAGATAAGAAGTTCCAGATTCCAGAGCAGGTCTCCCGACCTCCCATGCCCACTGCCCCAGGGATTTGGGCCACCAAGGGGCTGAGAGTCCACAGCACCCCTATTGGGTGGCAAACTGGGAGGGAGGAGGAGAAGCAACAGGCATGGGGTGCTGAGCATTACTGAGCTCCTAGTAGGACTTCTGTAGCTTCTGTAGTCATTCCTGCTGTGCCCCATTCCCCAGCTAACCCTCGGTAGTCTCTGACCCCTGCCCCTCCAGGAGCTGACCGGCCAGCTGCCCCCTGAGTGCCCGTTGGAACCTGGGGAACGGCCGCAGCTGGTCCGCCGGCGGCCCCCTGCAGCCCGCGCCTACCCTCCATCACACCCCAACCCAGCACACCACTCCTTGTGCCCTGCTGAGGTGAACAGACGGGCCTGGGGGGCAGGATGGGGGTGGGACAGGTACAGATTGCCACCTCGGGGTTGCAACCAGGGGAAGGAGAGGCTAAGGTGAGAAGGGAATGGCTTGAAGAAGGTGGGTTCTGGCTCTGAGGGAGGAGGCTGGGTCTCGTGGTGGTAAGCCTCTCATTCCCTGGAAGCTGAATCTGTCTAGTCCCTCCCCGAGAGGGCCCTGCCTGCTGAAGAAATGAGCTCCACCCCAGAACAGGCCCCGCCCCTGCGCTGGCTGGCTCTGCCCACACTTGGGCCTGGGCCTTGGCCCCTCCGACACTGACACTGGGTCCTGTCCCACCCTCTTGCCCTCCCGCAGGAGCTGGCTCTCGAGGCCCTGGAGCGGGAGGTGTCCGTGCAGCAGCAGATTGCAGCCGCCGCCCGCCGCCTGGCCTTGGCCCCTGAGCTGAGCATTGAGCAGCGCCGCCGCCGGCGCCAGGTGCAGGCAGATGCGCTGCGGAGGCTGCACGAGCTGGAAGAACAGCTGGGGGACCTCCGGGCCCGCCTCGGCCTCCCGGGGCTCCCCCCTCCGCAGCCCCTGGCCCTGGCCCCGGCCCCTGGGGCGCTCATCACCACCCAGGGAGTATGCCTGGGCACACGCCTCGCCCAGCTCAGCCAAGGTGAGCCGGCCCTGTCAATGCCCAAGTGTGGGCATTGGCCGAGCAACGTGGCAGGGAGGGGTGGATGGCCAGTGAAAAGTGGGAGTCAGGCGGAGCTGAAGGGACCCCTCCCGCAAGAGGAGTTGAGATAAATGGGCTCTACAGCGAGGGTGGGGCTGCTGGGAACTTGACCAGATGGCCCCAAGAAAACCAGGAGCCAAGCCTCAGGTGGTCTTGGAGTCAGGTAAAGGTGGGTTCTTGGGAAGGAACAGGCCGGGGAGGAGACCATCCGAGGGTGTAAGGGGACTGCACCTAGGCCTTGCCTTGATGCGCCTGGGTCCCCCCTTCTCGCCTGTAGAGGATGGAATCCTGCACTCGGAGAGCAGCTCCCTCTCGGAGTCTGGGGCCAGCCATGATAATGGTGAGGACCTCTGGCTCCCACACCCACCCTTGCTTTGATGCTTAGCCCCTCCACTCTCTCTTTAACCCCTCCTGAGCCATGCCCCATCCTCACGTGGGTCCCCCATCTTTCTTGCTTCACACTGCCCAGCTCCTCATCCCCAGTTCCAGCCTCGTGCTTTAGCTCCCGCCTTTCCTTTTGCTGCTCCCTGCTTCACTCCCCCTGCCCCTGCCCACAGCCCATCAGGCCCCCTCTCTTTGACTTCTCCCCCACTTTCCACCTTCTTCCCAGAGGAGCCCCGTGGCTGCTTCCCCCTGGCCGAGCGCCCCTCACCACCCAAGGCCTGGGACCAGCTGCGGGCCGTATCTGGGGGCAGCCCTGAGCGGCGAGCCCCATGGAAGCCACCCCCGTCAGATCTTTATGGGGATCTGAAGAGCCGGCGGAACTCTGTGGCCAGCCCCACCAGGTGAGGGTGAACCCCTTCCCTTCCCCGGGAGCCAGGAGGGGGATCCTGAGCCTGGGTGGGCAGGACGGCTTGCTGGTGGTTATGGTGTCTAACCTGGACCCCCACCTGGGCCTGTCTTTCTGCTCAGCCCCACACGCTCGCTGCCCAGGAGTGCCTCCAGTTTTGAGGGGCGAAGCGTGCCTGCTACCCCTGTCCTCACCCGGGGCGCTGGCCCCCAGCTCTGCAAGTAAGGGGACTCTGAGGGTGGGCTTGAGGACCGGAAGAAGTAACTGTTCATTCTGACGAGGGGGGCATTAGTAAAGGGTGTGGGATGTGAGAGGCTGGGCTTTGAAAGGTATATTTGGAAGAAGTCACTTCCTTTCTCTGAATCTTGGCTCCTTATCTGTGAGATGGGTATGATATCTGCATCTGAAGGACACTGTGGGCATAGTAAGTTCTGGTTCACATGCACTGAGCACCTAACACCTGCTGGGAATCCGTGCTCTGCGAGGTATGACTCTGGTCATTGCCATAAGGTCTACGCTAGGTAGATGCTGTTGTTATTCCCAATCTATGGATGAGGAGCCTGAGGCACAGAGAGGTTAAGTGACTTGGTAGTAAACAGAAGACCTGGTGTTCAAACCCAGGCTGGTTTGACTCTAGAGTCCATGCATTTAATCACTGCACCCTCCTACTTCTTAAATTCTTGCTAAGCACCTGCTTTCCAGGCTGTGAGTAGAACGAAGTCCCTATCCTTATGGCACTCGCATCCTGTGAACCGTGGCTGTGGGGCTGATAATTCAGGGTGGCTCAGACACGTGGGGGGGTGGGGGAGGGCAGAGAGTTCAGGAGTTGGATTCCAGGCCCAGGGATTAGGACCCCACTGCGAAGGGGCTGAGGGGCCAGGAGCTCAGAGACACAACCTCGCAGGGCAAGGGGGCCCCACGTGTTGGGAAGAGCCCTCTGCTAGCTTTCCTCTGTCAGTTTTCCCCCTCCAGCCCTGCACACGCTTACATCTCCCTTAGCGCTAACACCCCCCCATACGTCTTCCATCCCTCTGCCCCCCAGCGTGGGACAGAACCTCCACTGCCTTTTACACGCCCCCACCTGACCCGTTTGTACACGAGGTCTCTGATCCTGGGCCTCCTTCAGAGATGCGCAAGTGGAAGCTCAGAAAGAGATGGGGCACAGTGGGCCAGGCACTCTGCCTGAGATTTCCGATCAGTCATACTCTCATCACCCCCACCTCTGTGTCCCCAGACCCGAAGGCCTCCATTCTCGCCAGTGGTCCGGCAGCCAGGACTCCCAGATGGGCTTCCCCCGGGCAGACCCTGCCTCCGACCGTGCCTCCCTCTTCGCAGCCCGCACCCGTCGAAGCAACAGCTCTGAGGCCCTGCTTGTGGACCGGGCAGCTGGTGGGGGAGCTGGCTCCCCGCCTGCGCCCCTGGCTCCCCCTGCCGCTGGCCCCCCGGTCTGCAAGAGCAGCGAGGTGCTGTATGAGCGCCCACAACCAACCCCTGCCTTCTCCTCCCGCACAGCTGGCCCCCCAGACCCTCCCCGGGCTGCCCGGCCCAGCTCAGCTGCCCCTGCCTCCCGTGGGGTTCCCCGGCTCCCACCTGTGTGCGGGGACTTCCTCTTGGACTATTCCCTGGACCGGGGCCTGCCCCGCAGTGCTGGTGGTGGGGCGGGCTGGGGGGAGCTGCTGCCTGCAGCTGAGGTCCAAGGACCCCTCTCCCGCCGGGATGGGCTCCTCGCCGTGCTCCCGGGCCCACCACCCGTGTACACAGCTGACGGCAGCAGCCCCCTCCTCCGCAGCAAGGACCCCCACTCCCGTGCCACCCGCACCAAGCCCTGTGGCCTATCCCTGGAGGCCGCCGAGGGGCCCGAGGTGCATCCAAGCCCTCTGCTGTGGATGCCCCCCCCCACCCGTGTCCCCCCGGCCGGTGAGCGCAGCGGCCATAAGAACCTCGCCCTGGAGGGGCTGCGGGACTGGTACATCCGCAACTCGGGACTGGCTGCCGGGCCCCCACGCCGGCCTGTGCTGCCCCACGTGGGCCCGCAGCACCCGCCCTTCCTCCATGCCCGCTGCTATGAGGTGGGCCAGGCGCTGTATGGGGCCCCCAGCCAGGCGCCGCTCCCGCACTCGAGGAGTTTCACGGCACCCCCTGTCTCCGGCAGGTATGGGGGGGGCTTTTACTGACGGGTAGGGGTCTCTGGAGGCAGATGGCAAAGGCATCCAGGCTGGGGAGCAGCCAGTCATGGGAGTTAGTGACTCCGACCGCGAGAGAACTAGCCGCAGCCTCGCCTCAGGGTCCTGGGCCCTGCCTGACCTGCATGAATCCGCGGGGTCTTGGTGGAGGGGTGTCTTGGGCCCTGGCAACAGCAGCAGCTGTCTACCAAGCTGTAGAAGAATTCTGATATTTGAACAAAACAGTGCATGTCTGCTGAAAATGAGCCTTGAAAGCAGGGTGCTGGGAGGAAGGGCCTCCCAGGCCCCTCGCCTCTCTCTTCTTCCTTTTGCCATGCCCCCATGCTTGTGAGCCTAAAGGTGCTGTCCTGTGCCTGCCTCCACCTCTTTAACGAGCCTCTTTTCCTCTCTTTCTGTGTCTTGTCTGTCTTTCCCTCTCTTCTCTGTCTTGGCACCCTGTCCGGATTCCTGCTACCCCTTCTAAAGATACTACGCGGACTTCCTGTACCCCTCGGAGCTGAGCTCTCGTTTAAGTGACCTGACGCTAGAGGGGGAGCAGTCCTCCAGCTCTGACCCCCAGACCCCGGGGACACTGGTCTGACCCCTTGTTGTCCCAGGCATGACTTTAGTCTGGGGAACACACGGCTGACCTCGCTGAACCCCGGGGTGTGATTGCTCAGTCCTGGGGGGGTGCCGACCTGATCTTCCAAGGCCCCTGGCTCCTTGTGGACCCACGAAGGTGTCTGACTCCCTGCTTCCCCTCTTATGCTGTGCTGGGAACTGGGGCCCTCAGCCAGCTGAAAAAAGAGGGGATGGTGTAATGGGGGCTCCAGGCCCCTTCCTCCGTTTCTGTTTACACTTGTGATTTAGGTATTCACTGTCTTCCCCCAACACTAGACCTTTTATAAAAGGGAAACTGTGATCTCGTCCTGGTTGGGTTCATTCCTATCCCCATGCCCAGCCTGTTCCATTTAGGAACCTCTTCCCCCCCCCCAACCCAAAACCCGGACAATATAGGGTCTCAGGGCCCTGTTCGGGGCAGCCAGGAGACTGGTGTGAACAGAACTCCCTGCCATCCCCCCCCACCGGGGCAGTTCTTGGGGAGGTGGGCTCTCTGCCCACATTCGGAAGGACTGAAGTCTGACTAGGGGGCTTGGGTTCATTTTCCTACTCCCAGGTGTGCCCAAGGGAGCCCCAGCCCTTGTCTGCCTGTCTGTGCCCACTGCCTCTGCCCACAGGTTGAGATGGCCCAGCCTCTGCCCTATCTATCCTGGTCAGGAAGCCAGCCCTGCAGGAGGGCTAAAGGGCAGAGCCGCCGGGTGTGTTGTGTCCTGGGATGCTGCGGTGGTGGAGCCTGGCATCGGCTCGATGCCAGGAAAATCCTCAGGTGACGTCTGGCCACAGGCTGCGTCACGTCTTCCTTGGCTTTCTTTCCATCCACCACTTTTTAAACAAATCTACACAAGCTGTGTTTTCTATGATACCTATCTGTGACTTTCTGGAGCTAGAGGTCCCCTGACCTCCTTTACCTGGTGTTAAACTTTTCTTTTTCTACCAATGGATCTGGGCCCAAGACACTACCCACACTGGAAGGGGATTTCTATAATAAATGTGTAAACCGAACCCATGTATCACTCCGCTGTCTGCCTTGCCTTGGGGGCCACTCCTGTAGTTAAGACCAGGTTAAGATATTTTTATGATGCCAGATTATCAAACAAACACTGGGAACAGCCTAATGTCATCCACTTGGGCTTCACTTGCTGTGATGTGGGGCAACAGCTTTGCCTGTCTGTGCTCCGATTCCTCGCCAGCCCCGGACAGGAGCCGTCAGTAATACAAATGATAGGAAATACTGCCTTTAACTGCTCTGTGCTCTGCCCCAGAGGGAGCCACTTGGATGAAGGAATGCAAAGCTTCCCTGCTCAGTCCGCATACTCGACAGAAAGAGACCTAGTCAGAAAAAGTCCAGCAGAACTGAAAAGCAGAAGGCCACTACTGGCCACTGAAGCTCATGGACTTGACCCCAGAAGCCCACGTTGGCTTGAGCGATGCACCAGCCTTTATTGTTGCAGTAACACTGATTATAGATGCCCCATTCCAGGTCTACCCCCACCCCTCCCCACCATACCCCTTGGTCCTCATCACTGTGGAACTTTGGAGAGGGCAGAACCCCTAAGCAGAGCTGGAAAGAGGCAAGTGGGACTGGTGTTTGGGTCACATGGAACCAAGGGTTCAACAGCATCAGGATGCCTGAATTCTCTGTCCTGATGTGGGCTGGGAACACTGGGTCCCAGGTTCAAGATTTGGCAATGCCCTAACCTGGTTTCAAAGCCAGGGTAGGGTCTGGAAAAGCCTTATTAGTCCCGGGTTCTAGAGAATGCCTTGGTCCCAGATCCCAGCTTTGGGGCTGAGCATGGGAGATGGGTGGGTCCCAGATTGGGGGTGGGGGGAGTATCTCTGGGTCCAGAGTTTGAGGTTGGCCACGGATGCTCTGGGCTCCACGCCCCAGGTTCAGGGCTGGGGAAGTGTGGTCCCCTAGGTAACAGGCGCTGGGTAGCAGGGATATCCCAATTTCGGATCTGGGTTGGGGAGGGTCGCTGATGTCCTCTGCTTTTTGAACTGGACGGGGCCCTCTATTTCAAGGGCTGGGAAAGGGCTCTGGGTCCCTCTACAAAGCCAGGGTGGGGGTGGCATTCTCCAGGTCTTGGGTACAGATCCCAGACCCCTAGGATCCAGCCTCCTGCTCTTGTCCCAGCGCCTCCAGTAGCAGGCCCATGGGCGTCCGCTTGAGACCAATACTCTCAATCTTGTTCTCGATCTTGTTCTTGAGGTTTCGCAGGCGCAGCGAGGCGTGCACCAGAATAACTGTGGGCAGTGCCGAGAGGAGCAGGGTCAGTGGGATGAGACCTCAGCTTTTAGCCAATGGGGGCCCACAGAGGAGAACTGGAGCACGGGCAGGCCAATAAAGTGGTCAGCGGCCTGGATGCCTGCGATCTGAAAGCGTGGCCGAGAGTAATGAGCCTTGCAACAGGGGTGTGGCCAGGGAGGGCTCAGGGTAACCCGGACGTGGCCTGGGGAGGACGCTCAATACTCAGAGCGAGGCCCGAAAGGGCGGTAGTAAGAGGGGCGTTCCTAGAAGAGGGAAGGCAAAGCCAGGGAAGGCGCTTTGCGAAGGCGGTGTGGCCGCGCCCGCCTGGTGTCCCCGCCCCCTCTTAGGGCAGGGCTGGCCTGCCGCTGTGCGCAAGCGCTGGCCGTTTATTGGGCTATCGACGGGTAGCGGATACTTACCAAGCACAGGACCCGCGATGCTCAGCAGGAAGGTGCAAGCGCCGCCCACGGCCCAGAGAACAAGGAGGCCGAAGGCAAGCACTGCGGCCAGGCAGGCGGCGGGGTGGCTGCGGCGGCAGCGGCGCACGGCTGCTTGAGTCTCAGCCGCCCACACCAGCGCGCCAAGGGCCACCGTCACTACCAGCGCGCTTAGGAGGGTGTGCAGCGGGCGCACGTACCTGCGAGGACAATGGAACTGAGCTAGCCCGGGCGACGGCAAGAGGGCTGCCCAGCCTCCAAGCCTCCCCGTCCACCCCCATCCCGCACCCCAAGAGCTTTGGTTCCCCCCTCTCAGGGACCTCTAGACCGGCAGATAACTCCTGCCAGCCAGTCTCCCAAAGGTTCCACCCTCCAGGGCTTCCGACTCCCAGGAGCCCTGGAGGCCCTAATTTCCTTTCCGCCAATCCTACAGTCCCATCTTCCTTAGCTCTCCCGTTTCAGGTCCTCTCAAACCGCTAGGCCTTCAGGCTCCCAGACCTTAACAGCTCTTTTTCTTCCAGCCCTACCCCGGCGGGGCCCCTCTCCAACCCCTCAGACCCCACCCCCACCCGTCCCCAAATCCACCCTTTGGGCCCATCCCTGTAGATTCCTCTTCCAGGCCTTCTCTCCGCGGGCCCAGGGTCTTTACAAGACCCGTTCCAGACTTCCTCCCCTTCAAATTCCCCATCCAGGTTCCCACTCCCAGTACATCTCTCCCCCCATCATTGCTAGCACCCCTTCCATGCTTTCAGTACCACTCTTAACTTCCTACCCTGCGCAGGTTCCTCCAGGTTCTCCACCCTTCTCTGGTCTCAAGCCTTCCACCACTGGGTCCTCCCTCTCCGTTCAATTTCCCCAAGAGGTACATGCTCCTGGAATGTTCCAATCACAACCAGGCCCCCCTCCACGCCTAGTGCCTCCTCAAGCCCACCCTCCCAACCCTTCAACTTGACCACATCCCTGTCCCTGTCCCTGTCTCTGACCGAAGTCCTCCAAGGCCGCTTTAATCTGGCCCCATCACTCACGTCCTCCCCCTCCACCCCCACTTTCACTTTCAGGCCCTTCTTATCTTCTGGTCCACCTCCTTACCCAGTTTCCTCTCCAGTCCCACATTCTCCATCCTCCCGACCCGCTATCCCCAGCCCGTATCCCACCCAAGGCACTCCTTATAACCACGTTCGACTTCCTTCAAGTCTCCCCTCCCAGGCCCCGAAGATTTTCCATCTCTAATGAACTCGCCCTTCCAGCCTTCATCCCCCTCCCATTCCTCAAAACCCCACTGGTCCACCCTTCCTGCCCGCAGTCGTCCCCGGCCAACCGGCGTTCCCCTCCCTCCCTCACCCAGCCAGAGCGAGACCGAAGCCGAAGCACAGAAGGTAGTTGGTTTGGTAGTAGAGGAGGTTGTTGATGACGCGGTGGCACCATCGCTGCGGGTCGCACGGATCCGGAGCCGCCAGACGCGCGGACCCCAGAATGAAGTCGTCCAGGGCGCGTAGCGGTGGCAGCCGCACCTCCGACATCCTGCCGGTCGATGTAGCTGGACCAGCCAGAAGAGAGGCCGGACTACAACCCCCGTTGTACCCTGCGCCGCCGCGAGGGACACCGGGAAATGGAGTCTGAGTCCAGCAGCTGCTCTCTCATCCACCTAGGCGGACTACGTAGCAGCAATGCACGTGACCAGAAATGCCAGCAACACGCCGAAAGTGTAAGGCAGCAGGGGCTGCCGGGAAATCAAGTCTTCGCCGCCGGGCGAGGCACTCCCACCCACCCCCAGGTGGGGGCGCCCAAGGGGCGGTTCCTAGCCCTGCTGACCGCTCAAGAACACAGTAATCCCGACCTTCCAGGACATGCAGTAACACATTCTGGGACATACAGATGGGGGCTGTCAGACTCCGGCAGGATTGCAGGATCCCATTGTTAGGGTCCAAGAGGGCCACACCTACTTGGAAACTCCCGCAGGGCTTTTTCAGCTGCATCTCCTCAGGCCCCACCCCTGCACACCAGGTCCAGCCATAAATACTATCAAGGGCCTTTTTTTTATTCGTATTCACCACATCAGAGATGTCTCTTTCTGGGAAGGTTTTTTAATCCCCACAGGTGAATTAGGGCGCTCCCTCTAGGTCGCTAGCAGTCTTCAGGCTGGGAGTCCCAGGGGGGTCTCCTCCCTCCATGGGTACCTGGCCTGGTCCTGCAGGCACACAGTCCCCAAGAAGTTTTTTGGGGGAAAGTGAGCTATGTAGGCATTGCATTGCTGTTTGGAAGGTGGGCACCTGCCCCATTACTGCTTGCTGGCTGGTAGCTTCCACGGCACTCCTGACCCCCTGAAGGCTTTGCAATCTAGCACGGCAGGTCCCTCACACAACCCACAGTGTCCTCAAAAGTCATCGTCATCACAGATGTCAAGGTACACATCAAAAGCCTCTCTGTTGCAGTTTCCATCAGGAGTGAAGACATATTTGTGGAAGGTCCCATCTACACAGATGGCTGAAAGCGGGGAGGGTGGGGAGGGGGGGAGAACAGGTAAAAGGTTAAAGGCTGCTGAAGCCACCCACTCCAATCCTCGACAGTGTCCCATGGCCTACAGTCTACCTCCAGGCCTTTGTTCAGGCTGTCCCTCTGGTGATGGAGTTGAGCCGCCCGCTCTAGCTCTCTCCGGCTTCCCATGCCCTGAAATTCCTGCAGGTCC